GTGCACCCACCACAGCACACATGTGGAGGTCAGAGGACAACTTTCAGGAGTAGGTTCTCTCATTTCCCCCATGTAGGCTCTGGGGATGGAACTCAGGTCATCAGGCTTGGTGGCAAGTGACTTTACCCTCTGAACCATCTTGCCCACTCAGTGCACTTCCACATATATACTTTATTAGATTAGTATTTTGTTTTCATTATATCAAGTATTTCTGTCCTGCCAGATCTACAAATAAGTTTACAATTTACTTGTTTTTACAAAGAATTTACTGACGGGAAAAACATTTACACTTAAGACAAACTGAAATAGGTCTGAAATGTCATGAGTAAACATTTTTTTTTTGCTTTAAAATGTAAAAGGAAAGAAAATTTTTGGCCTGAAACTTAAATCTTAGAATTTTGTCCTCAATTCTAAGACTTGGATTGATTGTTTTTCCAGTAGCACCTAAATACAGAGTTGACTCCATCAGAGTCTAGTCCTGATCATGGCATTTTCATTAGAAGGAAGGACGGAATGTGCACTGATGGAGGGCTTTGTTTAGGGTTTGACACATGGAAGGATTTTATTACCAGCCATCCCCATGTGGTTAGGTTAGGACTCTTCCTGAATAACCAGGTCGTTTTCAGATTAATGGTCAGTAAAGTTTGATGAATATACTAGGGCCTATTTAAGTAAATGAGGTTTTTGGGTTTGTTGTTGTTTTAAAGTATAGCAAGGCATTTTGCTGGCATAACAATCAGTGCATTTGGTGGACAGAAGAAACTTGTCCCTGTCTCTGAGGTGCACGTATTTCCTAATCTCTGGATTTTCACAGTAAAAATACTTCCAGTAGGTTTTCAAAAACTAAACCATACTTCACAGTATCTTCTGTTTGGTTTTTGAGACAGGATCTCCCTATAGCCCCAACTGGCCTAGTCTACATAGCAAGGCCAGCCTCTATCGAAGAAATCTACCTGCCCCTGCCTCCCAAGTAACAGGATTAAAAGCGGGTACCACCACATCTAGCCCTCCTCACAGTATCTTGATCCCTTTAAGGCATACTTAAGACTTGATTGATGGACCAAACAAGACTGATGTTCAGTTACCAATGTTGGAGCCCTCATAGGCTGTCCTATCCACTGAACATTCTAGAACACGTACAAAATTTATAAGTCCAATGTTTTGTTTTGTGGGTTTATTTTTGTTTTGTTTTGTTTTGTTTTTGAGACAGGGTCACACTAGGTAGCTCTGACTGGCCTGGAACTCTCTATGTAACCAGGCTGGCCTGAAAACACAGAGAAACTGACCTCTCTTCTCTCTCCCTCCTTCCCCTCTCTCCTACCTCCTCCCTCCTTCTCCTTCCCCCTCCCTCCCTCCCCTCCCTCCTTCCCTTCCTTCAAACTCAGAGATTTTCCTGCCTCTGTCTCCCAAATCCTGGGATTAAAAGTGTGTGCCACCAGTCTGACAAGTCCAAATAATGTGATACTGCTATAAAAAAACATGCACGAAGTATCATTTCAAAACAAGACGGCATCTACTGAGTGGATTAAGTGGGTAACACTGCCAATTCCCAGGACTCTCTGAGACAATTACCAAAGTGGCTGAAATTGTTGAAGGATAATTTTCATCTTCATGTCGAAGGCTCCATATCTAAAGAGGAAAAGTTCCAGGAAGAAAAAGAGCAGGACAAGCTTGTGGGTAACTATCATTATCTTCCTTCATTTAGAAAATGAATCCTATTCACAATGGTGCTTAAAAATGCCAAAGTATTATATTGTTGGGTGGGTTTTTTTTTTTGAGACAGGGTCTCATGTAGCCCAGGTTGGCCTCTAAGTTACTATGTAGCAAAGGATGGCCTTGGACTCTGATCCTCCCTACTTCCACCTCCCAAATGCCACATGTGCCACCATGCCCACGTTGCTGGCTGATTTTTAATTCCCAATTGAATGAATAAATTGTAATATCTGAAGGGTAAAAAAAATCCACATGTATTATCAGATGATCATCATGCCTGTGGACTGAAGATCAGCAACAGAGGTCAGCTTTGAGTCCAAGAATGGGGGACCTTGTTCTTTGGCCTTGCTCTCTGGCACTGCCAGTTTAAGATACCTATGATGCTTGAGTCTGTGTCAGACCATCTGAAGAGGACCTGAGCCGTGGCAAATACTAAGTACAAGTTAACCATCATTATTATCACCAGAATCAGGAAATTATGGCCCTCTACATGGCCTGGGTGAGGATGAATAAAGAAAATGAATATTTTTCGCATGTATGTTTGTGTGGGTGAACATACATGTGTGTGTATGTTTATACAGAAGCCAGAAGTTGGCATTAGGTGTCTTCCTAGATCACTCTCCACCTAGGCTATTGACGCAGAGTCCCTCAGTTGAACCTAGAACTTGCCAATTTGGCTACTCAGCTAGACAGTTGGCTCTGGGGATCCCATCTCTGCCTCCCCAGCACTATAATTACAGGTGGGCTTCCACGTCCACCCCACATTTATATAGGTGCTGGGCATGTGAACCCTGATCTTCACACTCAGCAGCAAGCACTCAAATGAAATTTTGAAAGTATTTTCTGGGGCCATGTTAAAGGACTTTCCTATGCTTTGATTCTATCCTCACCAAAATCTCTGCAAGATTATTGTAGTTGGTTGAGCATGAGTGTCCCATAGCCGTGAGTGGCTATGACAGCATGCACTGCCCATGTTATTCTGGGCAAATCTGTCTAATGCTTCAGAGTAATATTTTATTGTAAGTAACTATGCCATGCATTCCTTGAAGTGAGTCCCTATACATGTAAGAATTGCACTAGGCAGCTTTTCTCCTGTCTAATTAGGTTGTCTCCAGATGGAAGAACAGATGACAATGACATGTTTATTCACACAGCTAAATCCATAGGAGGGGAGTTGGAAATTTTGATGTAGGAAAAGTCTTCTGAGGAGGAGGCACCTATAGGCTTGCTCTGCAAAAATAAGTGTTGGGTCTTTGTCACCCTCCATTCTTTTCTTCAATGCTTAATACTTTCTATTACACTAACATTCTCAATGTGCTTGTTCATAAAGCCCCTCTCATTCATAAAATATTGACTAGTTGACCAAAGGTAATATTCCTTGCAGAGCAAGATGCATTTTAGGATATGTGGAAGTTCTGGCTATGACATCTGTAGCCTCACTGATGGCCAGGGTTGATTTGGCTGATCTGGCTGGCTAGGTGGGTGTCCCTTTCCTCCCTCACTGGTTCATGTGCAGCCCTCCTGAAGTTTTATGCTGCATGGAAGAGGACAAACTTCCCCCATGGAGGAGGACTATTTTTTGGTTAAGTGTATGTGCACATCCCTGTTAGAAGCTTCAGCGCTAGCTGCATTTTAAATCAGAACTTTGGGTGGCACAAAATCTTTAGAGCTATGAAGGAGGTGAAGAATTTCCAGTGTTGAAATTCTAGACATCATGAGATGGTAAGGGAGAAATTTGGGGATAGGATGCTATTCCAGACTTTCCCAAAAGTTAGCCAATATTCTGAGTTGACTTTTGAGTCAACTCAGAGAATGTCTTTTTTTATCCATTTCTTGACTTACTTAGTTTATGCACCATCTGCCATAAAAACAACTAATTTCTTTTTACCCCAGTATCTGCCATCTCTTTTGCAAATGCCTAATTTTCTTAACAATTGGATGCTGCTGTCATCTGTCCTTATTTGGATCCTTTGGGATCAATGGAGAATAGAAAAAGTCCTCTCTAGATAACTTCCATTTGCCTGAGTAAATACCCCCAAATATATTCATATATTGAAACATATTGCCAATATGATAGTATTAAGAGGCCAGCCTTTAGGGAGTGATTAAGTCATGAGGTCAGAGCCCTCATAAATGGTATTAGCAACCTTGTAAAAGGGCTCAAGGGAACTAGATAGCGCCCCCTTTTTTCCTTCCACCCTTCAACCATATGAGGACATAGTATTTGGGCCCCTTCTGAAGGACAAAGCAACCAGGAAGCATTTTGGAAGAAGAGACTGGACCTTTGGCTTCTAGAGTGGGGTAGTAAATGTCTGTTCTTTATAAATTAGTTGTCTCTGGTATTTTATGATTACACAAAAGATGCAGACAGTAACAACTGTATATTTTTTGCTGTAGGCTTTCTTCCTACTTTGAAATACTTAGGCCTTTAATGTGCCCTGATCCCATATGAGCCTGTGGCTATGTGCACAGGAAATCATCTACATTGTTTCCACTAGTCTTCATTCTGTCTACTCCACAAAGCTTTCTGGCAAGTACCCCAGAGCTTTGGTTTGCTTAGACTCTCCTTTCCTCCACACCCAGTGCTGTCTTTTGTTCACAGTGGTTACTCTACAGAAAATGTTTTAGAACTTGAAATTTCAGGAAACATTAAAAGATATATTTTTAATCCTAAGGAAAAAAATGAGAATTGGACATGATAGTACCTATCCATAATCCCAGCACTTGGGAGGCTGAGACAGGAAGATCCTGATCTCAAAGCTATATATAGGCTATATAGTAAGACTCTGTCTCAAAGAAAAATTAGGCTGATCATATGTAAGTTTCTTCAGGTCAGGAGAAAAACCATTGTTGTAATTCAGAAACATTCAGGAATAATTTGTCTGGGGAAATGATCCTAAAGTCTGTCATTACAAAATGAATCTGTGATAAGTTCTACAGATAGAATGCTTATTCCCCCTCCGAAGCTCATGTGGAGATTTAATTGTTATTGTAATTATATTAAGAATGGGACCTGTAACTGGTGACTAGGACATGAGAGATCTGAACTCACGGAATTAATGCCACCTATGAGCATGAACTCTCCCGTCTGTTGCCTCCCTGCCTTTCCACCTTCTGTCATGTAATGACACAACATGGAAGCTCCTACCAAATACCAGAGTCTTGAGCCTGGACCGCCCATCTCCAGAACTATGAAAAAATTGTCGCCTCTTTTACAGCACTACTAAACAGACTAAGCCAGAAAGTTAAGTATTGATGCCAAAGGAAAGGTCAGTTGGTAAACTTACCAGAACTCTGGAAATCCATGAAGCAGCAACATGAGTGGTTTGCCTCTTTCCCCTGCAGCAACATAGTGAAATCTTAACCCCGAATCCTGAAAGTGGAAGTTTGGAATTTGAGTGATACTGGGTATTATCAAACTAAGACATTTCATATTTACCTTTCACACGCACAAAATTCTCACTTGAATTCTTTTACCATCAAGATTTCAATATTAATTTTGAAAACATGAGTTATGAATAGGATAAATGAACTGATTCTCTTTTGTGAGGATTCCCTTCATCACTACCTCCCTTTCTTATTCTACTCTAAGGCAAGTTTCTCTATTTTGAGCTTCTAAAACAATGTCACAATTTGGAGCTTTCGTTTTATTGACATGTCACATTTCATCTCAAATTCTGCAGGACATGTAAATAATTCTGCTCTGAATTTCAATTCCTGCCAAGTTTACCTCCTTGTCCTGTACTTTTCTCAGCTTCGAAAGCTGTGCCACCAGTTACATAATTCACACCTCCTTCTCTTATTTTTAGGTGTCTCCTTCCCACACTATTATTTTGAGTGTTGCATGTACAGTTCCCCTTGCTGCCTGCTCCACCTGTCAGGTCCGTGTGTTTCTAACAGCAGAATGGACCAAATGCCCAAGAACTCCCTCTGCACATGGAAGACACAAGAGCTCAAGGAAAATCAAAGGAACGGGAAGGAGAGAATACAGCAAATACCATGCCAACAGGATAGGAAAGCAAGCAAGAAAAGAAAAGTCTCTGAAAGTATGAAAGAAATGGGAATTCGAGGCTGACATGGGCCCTGGATTTTGTTTCAGGCCTTCCAACCAACTGGCTTTTTGGATGCGAGAGTCTTAAAGGTACTTTCATTGAACTCCATCCTTGGACAGATTTAGAAGATGAGGCCCAAGGGTTGAGGTTGTAGTGTAGCAGTAGAGTGCTTGCCTTGCACACATGAAGCCCTAGGTTCAATTCCAAATTCTGTCCCCAACCCCCAAATGAGGCCCAAGATAAAGTTTATGCAGGCCATAAAGGTAGTTGGGAGGCCTAAGGCTGTAGCTCAGTGACAGAGCACTTGCCTAACATACACAAGGCCCTAGACTATACCACAGTAGTAATAAATAAATAAATAAATAAATAAATAATAGTAGTTAAGAGCAGGGAAGTGACCAGGTGAGTACACTGCCATCTTGTCCATTCCTGGTTCTGTATCTCCATGGAAGAGGAAGTATATGAGGAATTCAGGATGACTCATAAGCTGTATTTTGTTCTCAAGTTGGACAGAGTTAACAAATGTGACTTTGCCCTCAACTTACTTTTTCTTTTTATAGTGGTAGTGAGTCTTGGGGAATGAAATGCTATAGGTACTTTACTGGATTTAATAAACATTTTATTTCACTGAGTATGTGCCAGTTTTATCATTAGAACAATAAATCGAAATTGTGGGGCTGGAGAGATGGCTCAGTGGTTAAGAACACTGGTTGTTCTTGCAAAAGGCCCAGGTTCGACTCTCAGCACCCACATGGCAGCTAACAACTGTCCGTAACTCCAGTTCCAGGGGATCCGACAGCCTTTTCTGTCCTCGGCGGGCACTGCACGACACAGGTGCACTTACCTACATGCAGGCAATACACGCATACACATAAAATAAAAATAATAAAATATTTTTTTAAAAACACAGTAAATTGTACTAAGTTCTAGATTTGTTTAGTGTGGATTTTTTATTTTTTAGGCAAACATGTACTTGATTCTTACATCAACTGTAGGCTCTTGCCTTTCTGAATACCGTTGCTGGGCAATGTAGGTCCTAATAGGAAGTCAGGGCTCAGTGACACAAATATCTCTCATATGATGCTGGTTTTGAAAGGCCTGTGAGTCAGACTGTGGTGTGTACCATGGGGACTACTTCTCTTCCCTTCCTGGAGCATCAGTGATAGACTTTGGGACAAGAAGGCCAACAAAAGGGGTAATGTCAACACTTTTTTTTAAAGCAGAGGGAATGTAAATTAAGGAAAGGTGGACAGTTGCTTTTTATTCCTTTCCTTTGGTTCCTGGCTTCCTAAGCCTGCTTTCCTGCTCACAAACACATTTCTTTATTGCTTCATCCTGCCTGGGATTAGAATCAACTCCTGGTTTTCAAAGATTTATTTGGTCCACTCTCTCCATCTCAAAATCTGGACAAGCCTAGCCTCCTGAGACAGTTGAGACTCTCCAGAACACTGCTCCACAGCTGATCTGAGCCCTAAAGGGCAAAGGGGTGACACAGGAGACAACTGCCCCTTTCAGAGGTAAAGGGCAGAATTATTCTTATTATCCGAGAACAGCAGTAAAAGAGGATCCTGATTGGAGAAACTCCACGTTCAGAAATATCCAAGGTGCCTGCAGAGCAGATTGCTAGACTGCTGAATGGAGAGTCTCTCTCTCTCTCTCTCTCTCTCTCTCTCTCTCTCTCTCTCCTCTTTCTCTCTGAATAAGCAGAGAACATTAAAGACACAGAAACCTGACCCTTCTCCAGCCACACGTTGCCCTCCCGCCTCCTTTGGGGTCCTCTGGGTCCCCACCGCGCGCTAGGGGACACTAGAGGATGCGGAGCCGGGCATCACAGGAAGATCAGCCCAGCGCCGTCTGCTCCCACGGCCGTCACGTTCCCTCCCGCTCTCTCCAGGCCCACGCCGGCCTTCACCTTGATCCGCACGTAGCAGTGGGTACCCAGGGAGGGGTCGTTCAGGCACGCGGGAGGGTTTTCCCGGGCCACCCGGCGGAAGGTCTGCGCCGGTCCCTTGCTGATGCTCCACAAAAGTTTGAGCAGGTGGATCGAGGCGCACAGCCCGCAGTAGCAGTAGACCAGGGACCAGTAGAGCAGGGAGCGGATGGCGGGCATCAGGCTGGGCAGGCGATCGCGCAACCCGGCCATGGGGCGGCGGGGATCGCGGCCCTTGCTCGCAGAGCCGAGCGCGGAGCGCGGAGCAAGCGCGGCGCGTCAGCCCGACCCGCCTGTCTGCAGCCACCCGCCCCGCGCGCGCGCCTCCCCGGGCCCAGTGGCCCGCCGCGATCCGGCTCCCGCACACGTCGCGCTCCTGGTCCCCGCCGCGGCCTCCAGCACACGCTGCGCGCCGGGCTGCGGGGACCAGCCCAGGGGTGTCCTCGGCTGGTCCCTGCAGTGGCATCCCGCGTCACCATCGCTAGAACTGAGCGGAATGAAGGCCACACTGGGCGAGCCTTCCCGGAGTGCCGGGGAAGTGCCCCTCCGCTTCTGACCGGCTTCAACCTCTCGGTGCCCAGAAATCTGGGGACTTCCTTCGGCTTTTTTCTGGATCAGAGAACGGTGGGGTGCGGGGAGGGGCTTTTGTACTAAATTGTGGTGGTGATTTAGATGCGCCTGACAATGGGTTAAAGATTAACATGTTCTTCAACTTGGTTCAAAGTTACCAGCCCAGCTAGCAAACAGCAAATAGGCTCATTAGACCTAGGCAAGGCCCGGCTCCCATCGGTCTGTTTTCCATTCCTATAAAGAAATCCCTGTCTTTTGTTCCTTCTTTTTTTCCCCCCCCCCCTCCCTCCCTCCCTCCCTCCTTCCTTCCTTTCTCTTCCCTTCTCCCTTTCTTCCCCTTCCCCTCCCCCTTCTCCTACCCCTTCCCTAGTCACTCTTTTTCTCCCTTTCCCCTTCTCCACAAATTGCTATTTCATTGAATAGATCCCACAGTAGTTTATCAGATTCATAGTTAAGGCACTTTTTCCTTTTTTCTTCCATTTTCCCCTCCCCCTTTCGCCTTCCTCCCAACCCCCATCCCCGTTACCCCTTCCCCCTCCTCTCTCCTTTCCTTTCCCTTCCCTTCCTTCTTTAAAACGTTTTAATGTTATTTATTCTTAAAGATATATTCACTTTTATTTTGTGTGTATGTGTGTTTTGCCTGTATGTGTGTCATCACGTGTGTGTCTGGTGCCTTCAGCTGCTATAAAAGAGCATTGGATCTCTTGGAACTGGAGTAACAAATGGTTGTGAGCCACCATGTAGGTGCTGGGAATCGAACCCAGGTCCTCTGCAAGAACAGCAAGTGCTCTTAACCTCTGAACCATCTCTCCACCCGCTAATTTAAATTTTTTTTTAAAGCTTTATTTGTATGGGGAGGGGGGGTGGAGGTTATGCCTGTGGTGGCCAGAAGCTCCCCTGGAGCTGGAGTCCCTCCCCATTCCCCCACCCACAACCTGTGCTAGGAACTGAACTCATGACCTCTGAAAGAGCAGCAAGTGCTCTTAATCTCTGAACCGTTTCTCCAGCCCCCCCCCTTTTTTTTTATAGTTTAGGGTTGTTATAAGTAAATCTAGATAAAAAATTTTGTATGTAAACATTTTTTTCCATTTCACTTGATAAATACCTAGAGGTGGGATAGTGGGGTCAGGTGGGTAGGTGTACCTTTAACTTTATGAGAAAGACTCACATTGCTTTCCAAAATGGCTGCCTAGGGCTAGAGGTGCAGCTTAGCAACAGAACCTGCACTTGTTCAATCCCTAATACAAAAAAGTGACCTCACAATCTTTTAATCACACCAGGAATGTGAATTATTAGGTTCCATTCTTAAAAGCACTGCATATTGAAGAAAATCTTTTTCATCTCAACCACTTCAGAGGTATGTAGTGATATCTCACTAAACAGTTAATTCTCAAGAGGAGGGATTCTCTGGGGGGAAGGAAGGGAAGCTGGGGGCAGAGGGGCAGAGGGCATGGGGAAGGGCAGATGGAGAGGGGGGTGAATTGGAATCATATATAATGACATGTATGAAAATGCCATAATGAAACTCATTACCTTATTTGCTAGTTTAAATATAATTTTTTAAAAAAAATTGTTATTTTTATTTTATGTGTATGAATATAATACCTGCATATAGGTAAGTGCACCTGTGATGTGTAATGCTCATGGAGGTCAGAAGAGGGTGTTGGATCTGCTGAAACTGGAGTTATGGACTGTTGTTAGCCACCACGTGGGTGCTAGGAATGGAACCCGGGTCCTCTACAAGAGTAGTCAGTGCTCTTAACTGCTGAGCCATCTCTCCTGCCCCTTAAATATTAATTTTTATTTATTTATTTTTATCTTTCAATCAACATTTTTCTTTGTTCTTTTTTTTTTAACTTTTACAAAAACTTTATTGAGAATTTCATACATGTACATAAGGCGTTTTGATCAAATCCATGCCCACTCCCTCCCCCTCAACACTCCCCCCTCTGAAGAGGTAATCCTAAAATCTTTTAAGGTTTAGATACAAGTGCTCAAATACTTTTGACATTTTGACATTTTTGGCCTTTGGAACAGAGTGTGTGGCTAACAGGCCCAAGGACATTTTGATGTTTAGCCCAGAAACTGGCTACATTTCTTTTGGGTCTTTTTACCCTAACTACCTAGCCAATTCCTACCTCCTATTCTTATCACGCCATCCTCTGAAGGGGTTACTCAAATTGCCAATAGGGAATAGGGATGCCGACTTCTCTGGCTTCTTCCATGCTGAACAGGGATGGAGGGTGAGGTGATTGGAGTACCCCTTCAGTGGGTCTATCTAAAAGGCACCCAAATTGCATAACTCTTGTTTCTAAGGGGGAAAAAAAAAAGTCCTTGAATCATGAATAGGAGATGTGAAGAAGTAAAGTCAAGAGTAATTAGCATTACAAGTTTTAGACAGGGAACTAGAAAAAAGTCCAGGGCAAATTTCAAATGTTCATATGAGAGTCCGTTGGAATTTCTTGACAAGGGCTTCCAAAAGCATCCCTCTACAGGAGGCCATGTGTGATTAGGGTCAAATTACATACAGTTGGCTGGGAAGAGTGGCTGGATAATGCGGTGAGGTCCAATGACCCTGTTTCACACTCCTTTAATGAATGAGCACAACCATCAACAAGCCCAATTGTGACTATGTCTAGCGATCAGGCTCAGCTGAAATCGTGATGATGGTAATTATTTCATGCAGAAGGGACTGGCATCATCTATCATCTTATTAAAAGGACCTGGAATTTAAAAGGATTTGGTGCTAGGAGCCACATATGAGGGAGAAAATACATCATTTGTTTTTCTGAGTCTGTGTTACTGTGTTACTTAGTATAACAGTTTCTAGATCCATCCATTTACTTGCAAATTTCATTATTTCAATCTTTACTGCTGAATAGAACTCCATTATGTAAATACACCACATTTTTGTTAACCACTTGTCAGATGAAGGTCATATGGTAGGTTCATATTTAGTTTTTGAAGAGTTCTCCACACTGTTTTCCATAGAGGCTGCATGAGTTTACAACCCCACCGGCAGTGAATGAGCATTCCATTTCTCCACATCCCTGCCAGCATTTGGAATCATTTGTTCTCTTGATCCTAGTCAGTCTGATTGGGGTGAGGTGATGCCTTAGGGTGGTTTTAATTTGCATTTCCTAATTACTAACAATGTTGAACACTTTTTGAGATGTTTCTTAGCCATCTTTATTTCTTCCTTTGAGAACTCTCTGTTTAGATCTTTAGCTCATCTTTAAATTGGATCATTTACTTTCTTGCTTCTTTGTTTGTTCAGCTCTTTATATATTCTGGATGTTAAACCTCTGTCAGATGTGTCACCGGTGAAGATTTTTACCCATTCAGCAGGTTTCTCTT